AATGTCGAGATAGTTATCAAACGTTTCTTAAGAAAAAACTATAGCGTGAAAACTAGAACAAGCACAAAATGGTTATGAGATTGGTCCCACGAACCGAGCCCGTGCTGAAAAGTTAATAATAGTTGAGACAACAGTTGATGTAAACAGTTTGTTGATAGAGGGAATCTGTGATGTAGAGACCTAATGAATTCCTTCATTGGCTGTACCCTCTGCTGTGTACTACAGTTTTGCTTCTTCACAGCTTGGTCAGTAAACCAAAGAAATACAAGTGTGTATATAATACTGAGTCCTTTTAAATCATCACCTAAATTAAGTTCCAATTAAAATGTACCAATGCATTCCGCACAAGGATTCTTGTTAAGATGGTTTATGTAACATTTGTTGCAGTCAATTGTAATCATTGGGTATTTTGAGAATTTATAAGAGTAGATTCCAGTTTGGAGACAGCTTGTTTGTACCTGATGTTGTCCGTTTGTTACTTTGTTTAACTTGTAATGAAGTTTTGTTCAAGCTGTCTCCAAACTTTATTATATTACAGATTTGATTTTTCTGTTATTGAGTGTGTGATGAGTTGTCAGTTTGTTAGCAGACATGGTGGAAGTGGATCCAAAGGAAGACCAACAATCATCCATACCTCTGGCTATTGTACTTTGTGTACTGTGCTATTCCAGTGGCCTTTTACATTCGTCACATCAGAAAACGGGTTCTGGAGGTACCACATAACCAAAAATTATTTTATAGCATTCACTGATCCTGCTCTTCCCAGATGATAACTAATCCAAAATGCCAGCTCTAAGAATAGACTCTGGAGTTTTTTTGTTTTCTCTAGTTATATTTATTTTGCTCTCAGCACCCTGATCTTTTAGTAGAAATATACAAAACTTGTTAAATTAACTTGGCTTGATCTGTGTGAGGCACACAGTTAACGTTTTTCTTTAATTTCCTGTAGTTGGTGTGATTTTATATTCTTGTTTTCCAACTCGTCATTTTGATCAAGCTCGATTCATTCTCCATACTGTTAATATATGTAGAGATGATAAAGGTTGGCTACAGTTCAACATACTAAAAGTCAAATCATACATTTAAACTTCAGAATTTTTTATTATTAACAGTGACGTACATTGCCAAAGCATTTTGCAGAGTTAAAAGACTTGGCTCTGAGTAGGGCCTAAATTTGATTTGTTTTTGTGTAAATTTTACCAATATATGTTGATACTTCAGACTTTTTTTTTATACTGAGCCTTGGGTAATTCAGAAGAGGCCAAGTGTTATATTTGTAGTGAGCTCCCTGGCAGTTAGAATGCTTGCTTATTAGATAGTTTATCTTCCTTAGGAGAATGTATTAGTTCGTTTAGTGAAGTACACCAACAAGCACCCCTGGCTTTGGGCAGTCTACGTGCTAGTTATAGGCCTTCCTGTTGTTCTTTTCATCAGTTTTTGCTGCACTACCACACCTACTAGCAAGGTAAACTTTCTTAATAATATTTTAAGTATATTATTTGTGTCCAAAAAGTGTTATAGGTTTCTATGAATTTAAAAAATTTATATATCAAGAAAGTGTGTTTTACTATCAAAGAAAGGAAATTACAGACTAATTTAAGAATTGAATAGATCCAATGGGGTCCAGTCAGACTCCCAAAACAGAGAGAAGTTTTTGAAAATAGGGAATTCACATTTTTATATCAATTGTACCTACAATGTAGATACTCAAAAATTTGTTATTTGTTTGGGTTTAAGTGCAAAGCTACATAACGGGTTATTTACACCGTGCCCACTTTAGGTATCAAAACTTGATTTTTTGTTGTGTAAGACCACAAGCTTAATTCTTAACAATTTGAGGTCAATTGCACACACAGACACACACAGGTGTAATGGAAATAATTAACCCTTGAATACACATTTCCTTCATTAAATGGTGTTTTCATTTATTGATAACATTATAAAAAAACTATATCACACTAACCTCTTCTGGTTTATCAAGCTCTTCCTCTTCAGTTTCCTGCTCCTTTTCTCCTTCCTCCTCCTCTTCATTACCTTCTTTTTCATCCTCACTTGGCTGTTCTTCTTCTTCTAAAGTTTGCTTCTCACTTTCGACTTCTGCTTCAAGGTTTTCCTCAGGTAAATCACTAGACTTAGTGTCTACAACCTCGTCATCTGGAAGAGGCTCATCTGTTTTTTTGGCTCTAGCTCTCTGTTCCTCTTCTTTCTCCTTATTTAAAAAAAGTATTGAAATAAAACAATGGAATTTTCTACTGCATATTTCATCTTGTCTTCTAATGTTAAGATTAATAGCTCTTTATAATTGACATTTGAAGGATATGCTATACACAGAAACAACTTATTCAATACTTTTAATTAGAAGAGTTAAAAGTAAAATAAATTTTCTATGAGAACTCTAATACACATATAAAACATGGAAACTTTCAAATAATCATGGCATTAAATCCAGATCATGTTTATATGATAGATGAACAGCTTATGTCCAGATCATATAATCTTTTTATCACAGTTTATTGGATATATTAACAGCTTATATCCAGATCATGTCATTTTTTATCACAGTTTATATGAGATATTAACAGCTTACATCCAGATCATGTAATTGTTTTATCACAGTTTATACGAGATATTAACAGCTTACATCCAGATCATGTAATTGTTTTATCACAGTTTATACGAGATATTAACAGCTTACATCTAGATCATGTAATTGTTTTATCACAGTTTATACGAGATATTAACAGCTTACATCCAGATCATGTAATTGTTTTATCACAGTTTATATGAGATATTAATAGCTTATGTACAGATGGGATATATTTAACTTGAGCTGTCATTATTTTATTTGTCTGTACAGCTTTTTGAATACTTGGAAGAAATGTTTTCATTTCCAAAGGGAGCAAATCTGAATTAAAATAGATGTTGTTGCAACTGTCAAAGTTTATAATGACAAATGTATGTATTCATGTAATCAATATTTAACTTGACCCTAAAGTGAGTGCATAGATCTGGTGGTTTACCTTATCACAACCCCCTCATTATCAGATAGTTGTAATCTTTACACTGTGTATACTTGTTTCAGGAGAAAGCTGAAGGAGGGGGAGCTGGTGATGTTAGAAAGTCGCCTAGACAGAGACGACCTAGGCAAGAATAAAAAACTAACGACAGAACAACTTTAATCAGGAAGATGAGGGTGCAAAAGTCAGTTCAGGAGAATAAGTGCCTAGTCAGACAGTAATGGCAGAAAAGTAAAGCAACTCCTGAAACACTGGTCATATTGGGAAACTCTCTGTCCTATCCACTACAAGTCTACATACATAGTAAATTTTGTTGGACAGTGTTTGTTGTAGTTTAAGAATCCTTATGTAAAATTCTAACATTTGTCTCCCAGCAGCTCCAGTGTTTCACAATGAGTCTTCTGTTGATGTTCATATTTTATTTTAATTGGTCCTCCTACCCCTTCAATAGCCAAGTGTCAGTTGTTCTTTGTTCAATACATATAAGGTAAACATTAAAACGTAAGTTATTTATTGAACTCTCATTTAACTGCAAGGAAACATTCCACCTTGATGTGGAATCAGGCAGTTCTTCAGTATTTAGCTTTGTACAAGCAACATTTTGAAATAGCTGGTGATGGTTTAAAACTGTGTTCTCATACACTAAACTGGAAATTTATAACACTGTGTAGATATATATATGAATTTAACTTGGAACAAATTCTTCTGTTTGTTTGTTTGTTTGTTTTCAACTGATCATCAGTTTTGATAACTATGGTACGTTAAGCGACTCATTGTATCTAGCTATATCAACTTGTGGTATTTATTGATTTATTTTCAGATTGCACATCCCAAGAATTTAGTTGGTTGTGTGACAGCAGTTACTTGGATAGTTGTTGTTTTTTTTTGTGGGTTCAAATGCTTATATGCTTTTATGATTGAAGGTTTTCTAATATGCAATTTCTTACATGATTATGTCATAGTTCATCAGCTAGTACTTTGTGGCTAGTGTATTATGTAGTTTCCATTGACAACCACCAATCAATTTGGTGAGTGTATTTAGTCTTTTGGACTAAATAAAACAGATAATATTCCAGTTGTGTTTGGTGGGTTGAAGTCAGTCATGGGTGATTCACATTAGATCATTACACAAGTTTACAGGTATTTAGTTTTATCCATTGTAACATGCATCTTGAAAGTAAAAAATATCTAGCAGACATGCTTTCTCTCGTTATTTGTAGAAATTCAGCATTTTTCAACTAAAAATATCAAAGATGTAAATGATAAATTATTGTACACGTTCAACAAGGATTAATGATGTGTTAATGGTTACAAATATTTGACAATGGTTAAAGATAAGTTAATGATTATAAATACTCAACAAGGGTTAGTGATAAATTAATAGTTATATATATTCAACAAGGGTTAATGATGCATTAATGGTTACAAATGTTCAACTAGGGTTAATGAAAGATTAAAAGTTGTCAATATTCAGTACCGTCTTA